TTCGCAATGATCAAAGGTATTTAACTTGGTCTTCAACAATCGACAAAAGAGGTGAAATGACAATGACCAAGGGACTAGAAGAGAATCCGTGGCCTTTCGAGCTCAAGAATTTGAACACTCAACGCAGCAGTTGAAAGATTAAACTTTCTCCAAACCCCTTCGGTAACTGTCCGAAAACATCTCCTTTCCACGATGTTTTCGATGATTAGTTTTTGTTCAGATTTTAATTAGCTAACCGGAAACACAGCTAAGCTTTCTTTAAGCGCTTGCTGGAGGTCGTCCACGTACTTAACGTTCTCTGCAACTTTGGCCATATTGTAAAGATTTTAATACAAAGCAACGATTAGAATTTGGCGCGCACAGAAAGCTATGTAAGCATAAGCGCCAGTTGCTCGACATACCTGCGTGGCCCGTGCGACGAAATAGCTTCATGGGATTGGAAAAGTTTCAGTCACAACAAATTGTACAAAAAGTCTAAAACGATTTAAGCTTACATCTCATCTAACGTTTAAAGCGACATATCAATGCCTGCAACCATTATGTTTTATACGAACCTCGCAAACTTTTAAATACGTTCTCTTGTGATACCTGCGAAAGTATTCAGTATAATTTCCGGTAAGATTTCGCGGACAGTCTAATCGATTTCTCTTACATTGTGTTCTGAGACTGAAACTTTTCACCTCGGGCAAGGCTTCCTCGCACGGCCGAAACAAACAAAGCAAGTAACAGAGATTGTTGTATATCTGCGTCTTGTAAGACAATGTCCCCAGGAGCTCTTCTGCCCTTAACTTGAAATCGACTCACAGCCCCTGGGTCTCCGAGGATGGGTTTGACTGTGCCCTCACCAAAATTAAGTACACTTTTAGTATACTACTTCTGTAATCAAAGTGCACTGCAAAAAAAGATACACAAAGTATACTTTCAGTACACTTGAAGTATAGTTTACAGAGCTGCTAAAAATATACTTGTTCCCACCAGAAATTGGAACACCCTAAAGTATACTTGAAGTATACTTGAAAGGTACTGAAAATTCTGCAGTGCACTTCAAGCATATACCTCACGAGTAAAACCACTAGTGGAAAACTGACCAGTACAGTCTACTTAAAGTATTATACTTAAAGTATACTTTTAGTACACTTTAAGTATACTCTAAGTATACTTAAAGTATATTTAAAGTATTAGCAAAACTCATCAACTGAGGCCACCAATTAGTTTGACATTTACAATACTGTTTTTGACACAAAAACTTAAAATGTGTATCTTGGCTGGGATATAGGACGTGCACTGTATTTTGTGAAATTATTTGTGTATGAAGTGCAAGTTAAATTAAAACCCAGGTAGAAAAAGGTTCAACTTTTTTCTTTGTTATTTTTTTTCTTTCATAATATTGAAAATATTGTGCATCCTGGCTCATTTAAATGCCCCTTATACAAGGTAATGATTGTATTTTTTGGCAAAAACATGTGTAAGTCTGTGCACCATCTAAGTTTTGCAGGTTTTGTGGTCCAGTCATGTTGAATCTTTTCTTTCCTGTTATTATATTTTCTTTTAGTAAGTTTATGGTGAAAGATGTGTTGGATTACTGGCTGTAAATCTGCATTCCCTTTTTAGATTCAAGCCAGCAACCCACTTTTAGTAAGATGGTCATTTGTTTCATTGTGTGGTTCCAGAAAATATTCTTACACCCCTATGGAAGGGAATTTACCCCGAGACCCCCACCCCTCTGTAAATGCTGTTTTATTTAGCTTCAGCCATTTCCTATTTTTGGTTTTTGACAGCCCCCTCCCGACCAACTCCAAGAATTTCCAATAACTTTCTTTAGGGGGGGTGGGGAGGGCAGGGGTGGGTTATGGACATTTTCTGGGACCACACATGACCAACATTACTTTGTAGGACGCAGCGTGGCCAGATTTTTTAGGCCACTGGTACTGTAATCTGATGTCCCGGTTTAATGCTCTCCACCCTGCCAGAAGCTAGGTTGGTTCTTTGTCGTCCCAAGTTTAAATCCTTGGCCATACATTGTATATAGCCAGCTGGTCTGCCTCCTGTTAGTTGGAACTTTCAAACATGTTATTTTCAATGAAAATATTTCTCTCCTCTGCTTCAGTGCCTGGAAACTAGCCATCTCAAAGAGATATGAAGCTAACTGGATGACCACTATAAACAAGATTTACTTTTATGTTTTTTAAAGTGCTCATAAACAACTCAGTCACTATGTATATCAATGCAATATCCTATAGTAGTATACTAAAAGTATACAAATACCACTAGTATAGTAATGAAAATGCGACAATTGATCTGAATGGTTGAGCTACTTGTTTACTATTAACCATAATTTTCCATTATAGTTCACCACTAAATTTTTTCGGATTCGTATTGGTTTTAATCGATCACGTGATGCCATAGTGTTCATCCACGGAGAGTTCCTGTCCGAAAAAAATACCTGGATGGATATACAGTACTCATCCATGAAAAGTTTTTTTGTAAACAAGTGGGCTTATAGGAAATAAACAAATGAAATTGCATTATATTGTTTGTTATTCTTTATTTTTTAAATGTACATTTTGATTTTCACGGCTTTCATCTTAAAAAGTTAAAAATTGATTTAAAGTGATTTTTGAATTGGTGCGCGAAAAAAATTCAGTGGTAAACAATAAAGACAATAGAGTGTTGATATCTCAGAAATATTGGTCTGATAGTTGCCCTTGCAATTTTGATGTTCTTAAAACTCGCATATTTTTCCTTAAAGTCTCACTTCTCAGGCAAATATTTGTTTCAAGATAATCAAATTTCTGTGGGACAACTATCAGCCAATAGTGCCGAGACATAAATGCTCTACAGTCGAACCCTCTTTAAATGACCATCCAAAATGTAAAGCTTAGGTGGTTGCTTACGGGTGGTGGTCGCTTACGAGGGCTTAGACCATAATGGGTCAAATTATGCCTCATTATGATATGGTATTTTTAAGAAAAATTTTCAGGTTGTTTCATTTAAGACTGATACCATGCAGTGAATCTGTATATATTCTTTCAGTTTTTAAAAGTTTTTGTTTTATTTAATAAGTCAATTGCGAGAATTGCCGTTGAGAAATGTCTGTCTCATTTACTACCCAGGAATGTGATGTTAGCAACACTAGTTATTTTTCAATTTTTGCTCCATCATTTGTCAAGTGCTCATTTACGGGAGGTTTGAAACAAAGGAAAATTTCAAACTTTTAGCTCTGAGGGTGGTTGCGGTTGCTTACGAGAGGTGGTAGCTTACAAGAGGTTCCAAATGTAGTGATTTGAATGGGAAACGTTTGGTATTTTGAAGTGCACTGGTCGCTGAGGAGAGGTGGTTACTTACAAGTGGTGGTCGCAACTGGAGGTTCCTGTGTATTACATGTATTTAATTAGTATACCGGTACACACAAGCTCAGATTTTGGTGATTAATTATACTTTAACGTGATTAAATAATTGAAAATCGTCATATTAAGAGAATTAAATCAAGTAAGAATTTAACTAAAACAATTAGATTAAATGCTGTTAATGTCTATGAGGAGAAAGTTGATGAGGCCATGAAAAGAGTCAGAGACCTCTGCTCTAAAAACGTACAAATAGAACTTGAGTTCTTCTTTCAAACATGCCATGTACGAGTCATTTAACTTGTAATTATGTTAACCATTTAACACTGATTTCAGATGATACAACCTGTGCAAATAATTAAATAAGCCTCCTTTTGTAAATTTAGTAATTATTTATTATTTGCATTGCAATCTTTTAGTGTGACTGTTTTGTCAAGATTTGCAAATGCTATATTCGGACCAGTCCTTTTTGTGTGGTATATTGACAATTATTCTTTAAATAGAGTTGAAGGTAATAATCTAAGTAGTAGATTAAACTAAATTGTCACACCTGAATTCACGTAACATTTCCTAAGTTGATTATCTCTCCTCCTACAAGCCGATGTCATAGTTTTTCTTCATTTTTTTCTGTTTTCATTCAATCCTTAATTTTTTCGGCATGAAAACTGTATATAGGGCTTTTTTTACTTATTTGTTTGATCGTTTTGCCATAATTTGACGCAAAGCCTTTTGATTGATAGTTTCCCGTAATAACTCGAATGCTTTGTTTTTGAATTTTTGTTTTTGTTTTGTTTTGTTTTTCTTTTAATTTCTATTAATTCTGCCACAGAAGGGATTTTTATCTAAGGCCTCCCACCCCTCTGGAAACTTCAATTAAGCTTCCTACATTTCTTTAAATTTTTTGGCCATACAGACCCCCCAATCCCACACATACTCCCCCCAATCCCTTCTGTGGGGGGAGTATGGATATTTTCTGGAACTGCACATCATTTTTTTTTTAAGAAGTGCAGTAGCTGCGTGCAATTTAGCCCACCAGCAGCCAAGATCTGCAAATTTGATGACTGCAAGGCAGTATTTCCAGCCCGAACGTTTGATTGGAGTGCCAATGAGAGGATGGGTAGAACCAGCCCATCCCACCAACGTGAACTGCCAGAGAAAAGGGCAATTCAGTTGTTACATTTTGCATGTTTCTTTAGTATATTTTCCACGGGATTAGCATTTGGGATTAATTTTAATTTTGTTTTCGTATTTTCCACAATTTCAAGTTCTCCAGGATTTTAATTTGGCACTTGTTGACTATATTACCAACAACTTTGTAAGCGTTTCAAGCCGATAGTGTGTAAGACGTTTGTAGGAAAACGTTAAACCAACAACTCTGGGAAACCATATTTTGAGCCTTGAAAGTAGAAGTATAGCAGTTATTAGATTTGCAACGCATATGCGATGTACGAAGGTTAACGTTTCAGTGAGCAGAAGATTTCAGAAATTAAGGAGCAGTTTTGGCTGGAATTGCGCGCGCAGAGCGTTTGATCACTGTGTGGGCATAACCACCCGTAAACTCTGGTAACATCAACGAATAATTTTGTTAAATACAGGTATAGCATACGGACACTAGACAAAGGCCAA